ACTTGCACAAGATGTAGCTCTTGTTGTTATCATTAAATGTTGGCTGGTTCAAAGAAAGTGTTTAGAGTGACTGAGTTCAAAATATTTTTGGTTATAAACAGCGTCATCGTACTCCAGGTATCATCCATCAAAAGGTTACTGGTGGGAGTTTAAAGATAAACAACAGAAACATTTGACAGGTGAGCCTTTCAAGTACCAAGCTGAAAAAATAATCTCTGATAAGAAGTGACGAGTTTATACTCAGAAAATGACGTTGTTTGGTTTAAGTTTTGCATCTGATTGGTTGAGAGAATGTTGGGAGTTTTCTGGACCAATCACAGTGCAAAATAAGCAAAACAATGCCATCCCAGATAACTTTCCACACCTCATTGACATTTGCTCAAAAGCGCGGGAAAAAGCGAGTGACCAAAGCAATCATAGATTACGTTTGCCTTTCAATTGAAAATTGCTCTTTGTATCCCTTGGCTTAAATTATTAGCTAACTTCCTTGTTGTACAATACTTGTTTACTCTGTTTTTTTGTTTTTTTTTTTACTGTAGCTTCTAAACGGAACCAAAGTAACAAGGATAAGAGGGCGAGGGATCCCGATAAAGAGCCTAGTTCACAGTTTCAACGGGAAGGTGTTCACATGTTGCTTGGGGAACTTTCAAGAAAGTTTCCACCACAGTTTCTTCAAGGCCAGACTTCCACAGGTAATCAAAACGCAATTATTAAGGTTTATACGCTGACGCAAATGATTTGATGTGAAGGATATACACAAAATCGAAGTACAGTATAAACAATTTCGAGGTAATTCCACAGTTCTTATGTGCAGGTGCCTTCGTTTTATACCACATCACGAGAGAGAAATCTCTAATCCCTGTAGAATTCCTTTGAGTTGTATCCTGTACATTGCCCTGAAAAACCTCCATCCAACGATATATTGGTTCCTAGGGCATCCTTGGGGTGTCCCTCTTGGTTAGAAACGCTTTTGTTTTAAGTGAAGAGCCTTTAACGCCCTTTGATTGATCGAGAAAACTCGTGCCACCCTTTCAACCAATCAGATGCAAAGCTGAAACCATTTGCGTAACTTGAGGCCGGTCACGTGTTATTTGAGTTCCCATAATTTACCTACCTTTGCTTTGATTAGCTATTGCTGTTCGAGTCTCATGACACAATCGAAAAGCGCTCTTGATGATACCTGAACAGAGATATCCAGTGAAATTGGCTCAAAAATTCAAAATGGCATTAAATCTTATGGGATGTGTAGGTAGAAAGCTACATACTCAAACTACTTTCCTTCAAGACGCTTTGCATTTAGAATAATTCCAGTGAAGCTAACTACGACAAGAGATATCTTCAAAGGGAAAATATCATTTGAACCTTTTTATTTGTTGTTTTGTTTTCATCCAGGCCAAGTCAAGAAGAACGGAGACAAAAATTCTAATGACGACAGTGAATCGAAAGAGGCAGATTCTTCAGCATCTGCAGAACCGCTTCCAAATGGTGCTACTGTGACCGGGGGCTCAGGCACCAACGTGTCACGTGGTTCTCTTAACTCGCATCAGGCCATCAAGAGAACAGCGAGTACTGATTCCTCCACAAAACCACCCCCAGGCAAGAAAAAGAAAATTTAAACCAACTTGAGAACTTGAAAAGTAGGAATATTACTAAAAGATACAAGAAACTGCAGACTTATCTTGAAAACATTAAAGAAAATCTGGCAGACTCCAAAAGAAAGCAAGTTGTTCCATGAACACAGTCCCTTCTTAACCTGACAGGCTCGTTCTTGGGCAAATACTAAACACAGGAGTAAACAGGTGGAATATTGGGAGAGTGGCCTGGGCGCAAGCGTGGGATGATAACCCTGCAGTAGAATCACATTTCACCAAAGAGGGTCCCATTGTCTAAAACAGGACAACCGCACTTGTCCACAACAAGGAGTAATAGAGACAAAAGCAACCAAATACCAATGGGTTGTGTCGCAACTGCTAGGAATTAGTTATGTATAAATGTTGATAAAATAAATTGAATCCAGAAACAGATCGCAGTTGATCCTCTCTTGCTTTAACCTGGATCAGTCCATAGTGACACTACCCCCGCCCCTCCCCCCTCCGGCATCTTTGCAAATATTCTTTATTGTCCTGTATTAATTTCACAGGTGCTGTTGTTGTTGTTGTTGTTGTTGTTTTTTAATTAACATTGGCGTTCTAAGCTGGAATGCTGTTACTACAAAATTACTTTCTGATTAATGTTTTCATCATACTTTCAGTATATTTCCTTAATTCAATATGCACAAAAATATATTATACTAGTTGGAGCTCACAAACTACAGAAGCACTCACTACAAAATGAAGTGTTTCACAGTAGTGTTACTACACTGGTCCTGCATTCCCATAATTACAGTCCCTATTTATACTCTAATTCAGATGACAAAAAAAAAAATATAAGTTAACAGAAGGAAAGTACCATGGATTATGACCGAAGGGAAGTTAAGAGCTACGCCAACACCAACAGCGAGGACTAGGCTCTAATAATTCACTTCCTCGCCTAAAGCCAGTATTAAGAAGAAAAGTTCAAAGTCGGAGATTTTTTTCCATTCGCAGTGAATTTGTAGCTCTTAATGTACGTGATGGTAATTTTTTTTTTCTAGTTTATACTTATTTTTCACTATTTTTTCCTATTATATTTCCTAAGGTGCCTACATATAGCTAGTAATGTTCACAGAAAAAGCAGACCAGAAAGTAAGATTGAAGTAAAAGGAAAAAGTAATCATTATGAAAGCTTGGTCTGGTAATCTCAGCAAACATCAGTGTTGACTAAAATCGTGAATGGCGTTCAAAAAATAGAAGCGGGAAAAACAGTTAACTCTTTACGCGCCTTTCGCGTCGGTTCTGAAAATTTTCGTGTGGAGAGTATCCTTAGGTATTAGCACTTTTTTGTTTGTTTTCTCTACAATATTTTTTAACCACGGATTCGGATAATTCATTTTTTTACATTTAAATTTACTAAACAATGTCGCTTTGAAAGAAACGAAAAAGAATGATTATTCATCCTATTGTTCATCTTAAATCAATCACCCTCAATCCCTTTCAAATCTTTCAATTCACATTTTGGGAATATTTTCTGTAAATTACGAATGTTCTACTATTCCTCAAGTTGAAGGTAATTTTTCCTTGGCCGAGTGCAACTCCAGAGAGCGTGACACCCTTTGAGAATCAAGCAAAGCCACGTTTTCAAAAATAGTCAACTCTTACAAAGTACTACGGCCTACTCCGAACTCGTTCACTCCTATTATCAATCAGTTAACTCTCCTTTCTCACTACTATATATTCTGTTGAAAACTAGTTCTGAGAATTTGCAAGGCGAGGTAAGAGTAAGATGATGGTAAGATGATGGTGGTTATAGAAGACTTTGCCATTTCCGTCCCTTCACACCAGCAAGTGGTACACCTCAACCGTGTTTCGCTCGCACCTCCAGCATATGCTTGGTGTGTTGCTGAACAATTTCCTCCACAACTGAAGGATCCGCTAAGGTGGAAACGTCGCCCAGTTCATCGGGTTTATTCTGGGCTACCTTCCTCAAAATACGACGCATTATCTTTCCAGACCGGGTCTTTGGAAGACCAGACACAACCTAAGGAAAAGAAAACCGGGTTCGATTAAAGAGAGGTAATAGATGTTAGTTTCCAGGCCACCCTCCGGAATATCAGATTGAAATGGTAAACAATAGCTCGGTAAGAAAATCGGAAGTGAAAGTTTTGACAACAGACTATCCTTTGAATCCTTTCAAATTTCCAAACTGCAAGACGCCAAATAGAGTACCGACGTTTCCGATATGCTTTGTACGTAACGAATTCCAAGAATCATAACAGCTCGCTAAGAAACCCAATCGGCAATTACAATCGGAGTCAGGTGCGGGGAAATATACAACAAGTGTCAGTGGCGGGAAATCATGAAGATTAGAACAGGTGCCAACCAGAGAATTAATGAAGGTGAAAAAAGGAAAAAAAAAAAAACACAAACTAAAATCAGAGAAGAATTACCTGAATGACTTCTGGGACAGCAAAGGAACCTATCTTCTCTCGGACGATGGCTTTCAGTTCTTTTCTTAAATCTTCCGCGGAAATTGTGGCGTCATCCTTTAGTGTTGCATACGCATAAATACCTAGCAAAAACACCAACCAAATATACAGCTGTTTGTCTCTTAACAAGCCAAGGTGATATAAATGAAGTGATCTAAACAAGGTGATATAAATAGCTTGCCCGGGAACAGTTCGCCGAGAAAGAGGTTAATTCTGTTAATTCTCCTGGGTGGAGGAAAAAAAAATTCAACCAGTCCATTACATTTGTAGGAACTTGAAACCTTAACATTCTCTTAAATTGAAAGTAAAACTTTGGTCAGTTTACTATTTCTAAAGAATGTCACACTGAGATACTAAGAAACCGACCTTCTCCTTTCACAGGATGTGGAAATCCAACGACAGCAGTTTCAGCGACTGATTTGTGATAATCCTGGAGAAAAAGTGAATCAAAATAATTTGGTAATGAGAAATAGTAAACATAACATGCATAAAGAAGGCAGATTTTAGGCAGTGATAATGTCGCGTTAAACAGAGATGATTTTCATCAAATAAGAAATCTAGAGAAATGACTTTTGTGGGTTAACATTGGAATCGATCAAATCTCACAATTTTAAAACAATCATTGCTTACCATGGCGTCTTCGATTTCTGCTGTTCCCAGGCGCTTGCCACTGACGTTGATGACGTCATCCATCCTTCCCGTAATTCTGTAGTCTCCGTCCTTGTCTCGTAAAGCACCGTCACCGGTAAAGTAAAATCCTGAAAACGGGTAAAATTGGTGACCAACAAGGTATTGCATTGACCGTCAGCGAAACCAAAGGCCAATCAAAATTCGAGCCTAAAATGTTTGTCTTCATCTGTCTATACCTCTGTGTCTTCTAAGGCAAACATGAAAACTACCTTAAAATTGAAAGAAGCTTAAAAAACTTAGTTAAGTTTAGCAGATAAGGGCAAAGATGCAATGAAAATCCAAAAAGGATCAAGCATGGCGGAGGCTGAAGAAGATTAACAAAGATCACCCACGAGTAAATTGAAAATGAAGCAAAGTTTCTGAAGAGAAACAGACCGTGACGTAGTTACTGCAACCGGTATGCAGCGCGGGAAAACATGCGAACGGTGCGTAAGGCGGGAAAATGGACTGCCAGGTCTTAGACGTGGGCCGGAAACAGCCGATGCAAAACGCTTGAAAATTAGATAAGCGTATTTTAATAACCGAATAAGCTGTTCGATCTGAACACTGCAATAAAACATAACAACCAGATTTCGTTTCCTTACTTAACTACATAATACTTTTTTGATATCAGTATTTACATTACAAAGAGCATACCTTTGAAAGGATTGTAATAGGTGTCTAGAAACCGCTGATGATGACCATATATGGTGCGAGACATACTGGGAATCGATGTACGTATACACAAGGCGCCTTTCACGTCGTTTCCAGTCAGCTCTCGACCCTGTGACAGTCATTGAACAGAAATTGAATTGAAATTTCAAGAGAATAGCAAGGACAGGGATGGCAATGGCAGGAAATAGCAAAGACTGAATCCCTTATTCGTTCAGTTTTCACTGCCGTATAAGAAACTCCTAATCCATCGTTTGATATAATATTATTCTACCCCAAAGCCGTTTCTAACATTAACGGAGATTGGATTAGACAGGATTTTATATAATGTTTTCCATAAGCGACTGCTGATGTAATAGGCGGCTGTGCCAGGAAAATGGGCCGTAAAGCAAAACGTAAACACGAGAGTAAGCTTGTAGGCTAAACAAACGGCGGTGAGAGGTCTTCTAGGATGAAGGCACCCGAGGTTAGGGTGAGGGTTAGGTTACATTGTGTGCAAAAGGTTTTAAGTGTCGAGAGACAATATATACTTTGCAGAGAGACTATGAGCAGTCCCTCCTTTCCGGCGAAGATAAAAAATCAGAGAAAAAAATTGATAGTAGTGAGCTGCGCGGAACTCTAGGAGTGAGGCTCAGAGTTCTGCGCGGCGTAGTAACCACTCTAAGTTAATTCGCTGATTCTTTTTTTCCTAACTCACACGACGGACTTTGCCGAAAAGGAGGGAATACTCGTAGCCTAATTTCGCAGACTAATCTATCGACGATTTACTTCCAATACCTTCTCATCCAGTAGGACAGGTTCCACTCCAAAGAAAGGTCTGGTGGGAAATTCCGGTTTGAGGGGTGAATCATCTGGTGCAGGTCTGGGAGATAGGAGAATACCACCGGTCTCTGAAAGACAAAAAACAAAACAAGACGTTTCAAAAATGGTTTACCTGATAATTACGCATAAACTAGCTTCTTATTTATTTCTTATCGTTCGTCTATGCATAAAAAGCCTCGGCCATAGAAAGAGATTGCCCTTCTGGAAACACATACTTCCCAGATACAACTGTAGTTGAGGGGCTACTTCCAACTGAGCTACGAGCTGAGATAACTTTAGTAGGTTCTTAATTCTCGCACGTGAATCTGATCACAATTAATTGAAATAAGTGAAGAACACGGTAAACTTAATGAAGTGTATTCTCACCTGTCTGCCACCACGTGTCCACGATGGCACATCGCTTCTCCCCAACAACATCGTGATACCAGTACCAAGCCTCCGCATTGATTGGCTCACCAACTGTGTTTTTCAATGAAAAAATTCACTTGACCAAACCAAGACAAAAGAAAAGAGGTGCTCCTCACCGTGTTAGGTGTGACTCGTTGCTCAAATTTTAAGATTAATTAATGACAGGAAATATATGTTACTATAGATTCAAGAGACCTTAACGATTCACATTCATATTGCTTGGAAAAAATCGTTCCCCTTTCCCTCGCTTTGTTAGGCGTCGCTCCGCAAGCATCTTGTTCCCGCTGTTTATTCGCTGACTTAACGCCTGAAAGAAGCAACTTTTTAAATTGTTTTTCAACAATTTTTTTGTTAAGAGCTGCTGTCCGCATAGGTAATCGTGCACCGTTGCCAAGTTCCGCCCTTATGGCCTGAATTTTAGGATCCAATCCCAAGTTGCGGAGCTCGAATTTACACGTCCAACTACCTCAACTATCAAGAAATTTCATTGTGCCCGAGAATTTAGTCCAGTTAGTGATGCTAATATAACTAACCTGTTCCCAGAAGTTTCAAAGACGATCTGTCATACTTTGTGACATAAGAATTGCTTGATTTCAGTAACAATCTTATTGCAGTCGGTGCGCCGTAGAACTGATTCACCCGCAGTCTCTCCACCATTTCCCAATAGCGTCCCGGGTCTGGATAAGTAGGGGTGCTCTCAAACAGAACCGTGGTGGCCCCATTAGATAATGGGCCATATACAACATATGTGTGCCCTGTGATCCAACCAATATCAGCCACACAGCCAAAAATGTCACCAGGGTGGTAATCAAATACATACTAGAAAAAACATTGTAAAAGCCTAAATTCAACTAGCATAATGGCTTTAGCATGACCTTGGAGTGATAGTGTAATAATGATGCCACATGCTGCATGTCGGGTTTCATTTAGAAATTGGTTTCATTCTATGCTCCATAGCTTAAGGAAAAATATCTGCAACATCAATATGGCTCTAAATCACATTCAGCCAAAACTGAACTCAGCAAAACAGCAACTAAGGATAAGGCTCCTTGAATAAACTCTCTTTAGTTGTAATTTTAACCTTTTTAAAGAACTCACTTGCTGTGACATGTAGGAAAGCAGACAATCCACACAATCCAAAAAATTGCAACTCAAAAGACTCTTTAGGATAGAAGTTTATAATTTACAAAAAGGAATGTATATCATGAACATTAACTGGAAAATCTTACCTTGTGTGTTAATTTAGCATAGAGAAGGTACCCAGCCTGTGTATGGACCACACCCTTTGGCTGTCCTGTGCTACCAGATGTGTACAATAAGAACAAAATGTCTTCACTATCCATTTCCTCAGGTTCACACTCCGTCGACTGTTTACTCATTTCCTACATGAACAAGGTAACAACAGTTACTACTTGAGATTACTGTTAACATAAACAGTTTTGATAAGCAGCACAAACAAGGTTAGAAGTACAATACTTATTTTATTATTTTTTTTCAAAGAGCATAGGGGAGGAGGTTGGAAATTTTGTTCCTACAGTATTTAGGGAAACAGCCAAAATGAAGATGTTGTGGCCAGGAGCTCTATCAACAGAGCTAAAAAAGAACACTCATTAACGCAAATGGTCAAATTCAAGCTTAGGGTCTCATTTCTTGTTTACTCTGCCTCATACAGTGTATTCACCATCATTAAATCTATCAGAAAGGAGAAAAAAATCCATCTACAGCTATATTAACCAGAAATTTGACCTACATCATTTGCAGGTCAAGCCATATCCATGTGAGAAGCAATCTGAGATTGAGGAATTAACTAAACTTACCTTGATAAAATTACAGTCCCAGCAAAATATTAAATAGGAAAGTTACCTTCTCAAGAGGAATGTCCAGTTTTCCCATAGGAACATTTGCTCCAGTACGGCTGGCAACAAACACTCGCTTTACACATGGACTGGCAGCCACAGCTTTGTCAACTGTCTGTTTTAGCTCACCAACCTTTCCACCTCGCACCACTTGATCTGCTGTGATCACAGTTTCAGCCTTTGCTATGTAACAAAATACATAAAATTACACTTCCCAAAACAACATACCTTCCATGAGAGTCATATCTCGATTGCCTAGTTAACTAGAATTACTTGTACAAGTCAAATGCCATTGCAATACAACATATTTCAACACCAAAACTAACAGAAGTAGCCACATTAGCTACTAAGGGAAAATGAAAATATCACAACAACCTAATAAGAATTCAAAGGAAAATTTATCAAACTGCACATGTCCCAGGTAAATGAAATTGACCAAATAGTGATTTTAAAAAAAAAAATGTGCACCCTTGACAAAGTTGAGTAGGGCAATGTTTTTGCCCACTAATTGTGATATACTTGGCTTAAAAAAAAGAACTTACAGATTTTCAACTTACCATCATTTATTCTGCTGGATAAAGCTTCTGAGCTGAACCCAGCAAATACAACACTGCAATAAAAAAAAGAATAAATTAGCTTTGCATTAGGACAGGCCAAAGACAGGCAGCCATATGCTTTGTCACTTCCTTTCCTGTGGGTGGGCTGGTCTAATTTCTATTTTTTTGTAACCTGAATCCTTTTTTTTGCCTCACTACTGCTATCACACCATCCTCTAGCACTACTGTACTCTGTTTAACAAACTGAAGGTCTGAGACAGGTAAACACAGAAACCGGACATTTTCATTAATTTATAACTAATTTATAACTTTTGTCACACTAAGACATTAAACCCATGTTAAGACTTCATAAAATGTCTCTACCTATTTCAAGTAGATCTGTTTTATGATGTCAGGCAGTAAGCAAAAAAATGAATATTACTGCTATAGTTACCCTATTACTGCCTAAAATTGCTTGGAATTCTTAAAAATCCAACAGATCAAAGGGTTTCCCTTCTGGTTTAAAATTTTCTTTCACCTGTCATGCTTCAAAGAAGGGAGATAAGTGTCCCTTAGTAAGTCTTTACCTGTGAGGTGCACCAATTCTTGCACAAGCCAACATGGCAGCAACAGCTAATGGACTGACTGGCATGTAGATACATACAACATCTCCTTTTTTGATTCCATGGCTCTTGAAAACATTTGCCATCTTGTTGACCATTTCATACAACTCTCTGAAAATTTATTAGAACAATTGTTCAACAAATCAGAGGTGAATAAGTGTTTTTAAAAAAGCTAAAATGCAGCCTATTAAATATCTGTGGAGGTCAATTTTTTTCATTGGTGAATACAGTAACCACATGCACAGAAAAATATCCATGGAAAGATACTGCTTGATTTCTTGCTTATTTCTTTTTGAGAACATTTCAAGATACGAGTCAAAAAAACAGTGTGGTTAATTTACAATAACCCTTTAACTCCCACAACCAACCAAGACTGAATTTCTCCTAACAATATCAATACAGTAACAAGGAGACAAGTAATGAGAATAAAGAAAAATATCAATAAAGGGGATTATCAGCTGGTCCAATACCAAATTCTCCACACTAACAAGGCAGATTGTAATTGTAATTTTAAGGCAGAGAGTAGGGAGAATACCTGTAGGAGATCCTTTCCACATCCCCTGGTTCATCTTTCTCCCATATCAAGGCACAGCGATCAGGATCTGCCTCCATGTGTCTGTCAACGCAGTTTACTAAAAAACACAATTCAAAATAATAAAGGGGGTAAGTTTCTAAAGAAACTGTGTGTGGTGCTGTGTCAGGGGGAGAGTATAACTAGGTAATTTGGTATTATCAAGTAAGTTGATAACGTTTATTGGCCACAGTTAGGAGTTTCAAAGCTGACGTTTCAAGCATTAGCCCTTCATGAGAGTGAAAATGAATATTAGTCTTGCTTTGATTTGGCAGAGTATGCAAGCAAGCACATGAAAAACTTTGCAAGCATTTATGATATGAAATGACACAGGGATATAATAAATAGTAACTTTAGCAGAGGTACTGTAAATTCTCACCAGCTTCAGCTGGTTGATATAAATCCTAGCCAGCAACAGCTTGAGTTTAACTAAGCTTGCACTAAAATTAAGCGTAATTATAATAAAATATATTAACCAAGATTTTAAGCTTTGTAGTAGGTAGGTAGGGTTACCCCAAGCATTTATCAGGCTTCCCTGATGATGCACCAGATTCTATTTACCTTCCTGGGTTAAGAGAGGTACTATGAAAGTAACAAGTTTTGCCCAAGAACACAATACAGTACCTGGTCAAGTCTCAAGCCCACACCACACCTCTCAACACTGAGTCAAGTGCACTCACCATCAGGCCACTGCACAACGCTTTGGAGTTGTATTCTTAATCTCCAGGGTGACAGTTATATGAGACAAAAGTAACCTTCTTCTTACAACCTCATGCCAGTAATGAAGAGGAATCCAACAAAAAAGTATCAGAAGAAGCATCAAAATCCAACAGAGAAGTGCTGCCAATAGATACAGGACAAAATTCTGTCCTTTAATATCCAATTTGTTATGTGAGAAACCAAACATACTGACTCCACACAAACCCTGCTCTGTTTTGCAAATGGATCCTTTTTTTAATCAAATTCATCCTCTAACCTCCTAGAGTTCACCAGTAATTTTCCCTCCTAACTGCTACACATTTCCATATAAGTGAGGAGATTTTGGTATTATGAACAAATAAGACCCCTAGCATCAGCTGTTCAAAAGTGGATAATGCTATCCACTGGATAAATATCTGCTCAGTGGATAGTGCAGTATGTTTTACTAGCATTTGTCTGTTGGATAACAATTCATCCCTGAGATAACCCTATCTGTCCTTCGAACTAATAGGCCATGGCTGACAAGATTGTTTGTTCTTGTTGAATCTTTGTTTATATATATGGGTATAGTGAGAAGATGATGACTCACTTGTCAATTGTGGGAATTAAGGAATTAATAGCTAATTTTACAAAAAAAAGAAGAATAAAAGCCCTAACCAGGAATGCACCCTTATGCTACCTCTAATTTATGTTAGTCTCTATGAACAAGAATGATCTAACTTAAGTTAACATTAACTAGAAAGTAACCGCCCAATTACCCTCTCCACCCTAGGGAAATATTAAAAGGACCCGATCCTAAACATTTCTCACTCAATACTCTCGCTTCAAGAATCTAGCGTACGATTAAGAAAGGTAAAAATCATCAACTATCTCTGTACCTGAAACATTGAGTTTGCCACCTAAAAACCATTTATGCTGGCCCTTTTGCAAATCTACGTCCATGACTGAATCGAAAGGTTTCATCCAATCTAACCGCGTCGCACCAAGCCGTCCCCAGAAAGTTTCGGGATCTTTGATACTTTGCTTATAAAGTTTTTCCCAATCAGAAGTGACATGATCGAGCTGAGGTGGAGTGTAGTCCTCTATGAAGAAAGAAGACACTCGACGGCACAAGATAGAGGGTATTCTTGTGGGGATTAGCTTTCGTGTGACGGAAAACCCCGCCATCATTTAGAACTTGCAGAATATTGAATGGTTACTCAGGCGTTTAGCGCGTGACATCTGTTGTTTATCTAGAGGTACGCCCGAGCAGCACTAGTGACGACTTTCCGAGTCGGATGATTATCGGAAATTGTCGGCTAATTCCAATATGGCGGACTATTTCAGTAACACCATTTGCGATTTACAAACAGTTAGTCTTGCTGACGATTTGTATTCTCATGCAAAAAAGAAATCCTGTCATATTCCATATATTTATAAACACAGCGTTATACAAGAGAGAGATGATTGAAGAATGTAGTGACTAATGGACTTTCAAACCAATAAATTAATTATTAAAAAGCGCTAGCCCAAAAGCCTCCTGTTCCTTTATCCTATAGGCTCCAATAGTAATTGAGTTATGCTTCTTTAAATTTTTACTTTTGATTGTAAACAATTTTCTTGTTTTATTGCAATTCCATTTTTGTGAGAGTTCTGTTTCTTACAACAAGGCATTCTGCGTTTTAGGTTATTCCGTCATTCCGCCGTTCCGCCATTCCATACTTTTCCCTTTCACTGTTCACTGTTCACCGTTCCCTCTTCAGTGAACTGAAAGTATCGTATTTTGCGGCTTGCTCGCAAAAAGAATCGCAAAAACCGGACACTTGTGTCCAAAATAAAAAGGAGAGCACACGCCTGTCTGCATTTTTTGAAGTTTTTTTAGTCAACATTACAAACAAGATCATTTGTATTCATTATGCTAGTAGCATGTCTCTGTTGTTCGTAATTCTTCGCTCCCACAAATACACATTTATCATTCATCGCTGATTTAAATATTTTATTCGTTATCCATTTTTTAGCATCTACGACGAGACAGGGTCAGTACTTAATCGGATCGATCTAGACGTAAGCTCTGCTTCTTTTAACAATCATCAAAAATAGTTGTGGAATAAATACTTAGAAAAGATAGTAAAGTTGTGGTTGTAATCGTAGTATTTATTTTTCATCGTGGCTTCATGTAGTACTTCTGACAGCCCGATAAAGTCACTCATCATGACTTCTTCGAAACATTTTCTTTTGATTAGAAATTCAGCGGACTTTCCGCGATTAAAAAATGAAACAAAAAGAAGGATGGTACGGGAAACTACCCTGTAATGTGTTTATTTTTAGTATTAAGGCAAAAATAGAGATAGACATTTTGCGCACCATCTCACAACATTAAGTTGTGACTCATGAACATCTCGATCAAGCGTAGAAGTGTTCTGAGGTTAATTTTCTCTTGAGATAGTAACAAATGAAAATTCATAAGTTGGTTTTTGCCAGAGTTTCAAATTTGCATCATCGTAATAGTTTTAGCTACTTGAAAGTTCGTGAAGAAGAATCATTACTTCAGACCGGAAACCAAACAGCTCCAAGTTCCGTGTTCATTTACGCTTCCGTAAGACTTCAGTAGTAAGAACATTCCAGCAATTTGTTACTAAAAGTTGCTTATCATTTCCATGTTTTGTTTTTGTTTTCTGCTGTTCTTTTCTCCTTCGGTAATTTGACGATTTGAATTGAATTATTTTCTCTTAGCAATTGAGATTTGATTTAATTTGTAAAAAGAGAGAAATTTAGCGAAAATGACCGGAAGTAGTTGTGAAATTTGGGGAAAGGGGGAAATTATTTTGTCACGTGAGCCAAATATATTACAATTGGTAAACCAATCAGAGGGTCGGAAATAAGATTCGGGGATTGCTACCGAAACCGTCTATGTCGGGCGAACTTTGTGTAATTTCTGCTTTTTCGCTGTTGAAAGCCTTTTAGGCTTCAAAGCGCGGCAAAAATGGTGGAAAATGGCTATGAGAACACGAAACTGATTCACCACGAGCTGAAAAACGGTACAGATTTCGTACAGTTGCTGTAGCGAAGTTAAAATAGTCGGGCATTTTGGTGGTCTGAACATAAACAATTTACTGGTGACGATCAGTTCTGCATAACTTTTTGTTTTTCCCGTAGCTAATTTGACAGCTCATGAAGACGAAAAGGTTGGACTGGAGAATTTTGAGCTTCTCAAAGTTCTTGGAACGGGAGGTAAGGAACACCCGATTTAGTTTCATTCTTTGAGGGATCCTGTGCTGCGCAAAACCTGCGTAAACTCAACTTGCTTGAGTTTTCGTGCTCAACCCCTCGAGGAAATGTTGACTCAATTTTTTTTCTCACGTACAGCATATGGAAAAGTTTTTCTCGTTCGTAAAAGAGGTGGCTACTTCACCGGGAACCTATACGCCATGAAAGTGCTGAAAAAGGCTACGATCGTTCAGAAAGCGAAGACAGCTGAACATACTCGCACTGAGCGACAAGTCCTGGAAGCAGTTCGCCGGTGTCCATTTCTTGTCACATTACACTGGGCTTTTCAAACAGAATCAAAACTACATTTGATAATGGGTAAGTTTGATGTCATTTGTGTAAGTTTCTCTTCGCTTTTTTAGAAGTCTGAAGAAACCCTTCATATCGAGCAAGCGAAATCACGACTTGAGGAATCATTTCCGTCAGGTTTAGAATTTCGTACAATCTTCAAATCGTGTTTTTTTATTTAGCAATGTCACGTTTCTAGAATGGTTCGTGAGTTTGGCGTATTTCTCTGCGAAACTTCCGTGCTTTAGGTTTCGTTTTTAAATAGGCCTTGTAAAGACTTGATTCAATATCGAAATATTAGTAAGCTCAAATCTTCTTCTAAGTTTCATTTAATACAATCATGATATTTGTTATTATTGTGAATCCCGCAGATTATGTGAATGGAGGCGAACTTTTCACCCACTTGTATCAACGAGAGAAGTTCACAGAAGACGAAGTTAGAATATACATTGGAGAAATTATTATTGCTATCGAACATCTTCATAGGGTGAGTAAAACGTTTTATTTAGACTCTTTTTGGCCGGTTTTCGACAAAACCTGTCGGATTTTACGCCTAATTAGATCTCCTCAGCTTCATTGGTCAGAGTTTACAAGGGATGTAAATAAAAATAAACAAGGTCCAAAATTGGTGGCTATAATCGTGTATTTTTACGTCCATATTCTTCAAATTTGGTTGTTTGTGTGGGGCATTTTTATTCAGGAGAGTAAACATTGAACGTACACTCTCTGAAAACTCTGACAGATTGCGCAATGTTTCTCTTTCTGCATTATTTTATTGCACGCAATCTATCTAAACAGTAGTTTAGGAAGGTGACCATGCAAACAACTCGTTGACGAGACAAACTAATTTTTGCTTTCAGCTCGGTATAATTTACCGTGACATCAAATTAGAGAACATCCTATTGGACTCTGATGGGCATGTGGTGATCACAGACTTTGGGCTGAGCAAGGAGTTTTCAGCGCCTAACTCGGTAAGCACGACGTTTTTGGTGTGTAGCAGTTTTCTACCAGTCAAGTAACTTTGTAAATCGAATTTTTTATTAATTGTTTTTAGGGCGAGAGAGCTTATTCATTCTGTGGAACAATTGAGTACATGGCCCCTGAAGTTGTCAAAGGTGGTAGTAGAGGGCATGATAAGGTACAACACAGATCAAATAAAATATTGAAATAAATGTTGTTTTTTTTTTTGTCGAAGTGAGCAATTTAGATTAAAAAGATGGAGTTGATTCTGGTGGGCAGATGTATGTTTTGGCCCAATTTAGCCTGCAAATTTGTCACAATGTGTGATAAAGTGATGATAAATGTTATTCAAATTGTGGTGGACATGAAATATTTTAAATTAAAAAAAGCTTCAATCAGCACAAAAATCCTATTTGCACTTCCTTTGTCCTTAGTGCTCTGCTTGCAAATTGTGTCACAATGTGTGACAAAGTGATCAAAACAATAATTTGAAATATGGTAGACATGAAATATTACTGTAGATTACAAAAAAGTTTCAATCAGGACAAAAATCCTACTATCACTTACTTGGTCCTCAGTGTTGTGCTTGTGAATCCCATTATCACACTCACTACCTCAAAGGAAATAGAGGTCAATGTAAACAGTGCATTTACAGAGTCCTTAATCTTCTCCATTACTCTACTCTCTTTCGAAGAGTAACATAATTAAAAAATAACTTTATTTGCTCTTAAATATTACCCATTTTTTCTTTTTTTTATCCTTACAGGCAGTGGACTGGTGGAGTCTGGGTGTTCTCATGTATGAATTGCTCACGGGAGCCTCACCTTTTACTGTTGATGGCGAGAAAAATAGTCAGTCTGAGATTTCTAAGTAAGTATAATATGTGGCTGACTGTATCAATTGATGCTTCAAATTATGATTCAGTTACACAAAGAAATGATCTCCTGGTAACCACAGCATATTAGTGTCAATGTTTGCTCCAAAATATGGGAGGAGGAGGGGGGAGGGGGTGGGTAGAACTCTTTGAGGCTTGCTTTACCCATTTCACTCCCAATTCTCCTTACTGGCTGCTGTACAAGTCTTATGATTTTAGTTGTGATAATTTGTCACTGGATCAACTGATAATTGCCTAATTGATATTTCTTGTTATTCTCATCACTTGTCTGCTTGAAATTGTATGGATATTGTAGGGAGAAATTCTGTCCTGGTCAATCAATGCGTGAAAGGGTTAAGTATACTGGAATGCCTAATCCAAATCCCCTATTGCTCCAAAAATTAACCCTATGTATTCTAACATCAGTATGCATTTTCTCTCTACTGTTCTCTACACATTCTCTAAGGTACTGACAAGAAGAATATCTGTAAGAATCAAGAGCTCCCGTTTTTGGTGATCATTTCCTTTATTCTTGTGACCTTAATTTGTGATGTGGGGGTGATATTGTAAGGAGAAATTAGATGCTAGTCACTCTCAGGGATCATATCATGATTTGATCAGATCAAAGGGTTTACAAAGCTGCGGCAAGTGTGCTGTGTAACTAACTAAGTGAGAAAAAGCCACATGGTACTCCCATGTGAGATGAGACTAGATTTTTTAACTCTAGAATTTCTCTACTCTGTAGACGAATTCTGTATAACAACCCGCCCATGCCAGCAGACATTTCAAGAGAAGTTGTGGATTTACTTCTGAAGCTTTTGCAGAAAGATCCAAAAGTGCGACTCGGAGCAAAGGGAGCCCAAGACATAAAGGATCATCCTTTCTTCAAGGTTGATGTAATGCAAAATATTTTCCGTAAATGTTTTGTTATAGCTTCGATTAATTTGTTCAGAGGTTTCCAAAAAGGTTCCTGGCAACCAATCATTTGAATCATTTATTATGGGACCTTTCCCCTGACTAACTCTGTCACCAAAGCAACATGACAAGGTCATTGACAGTCACTTCTCTATGCCTGTAACTCTACAGTAAACTCATTTATTTCATTCCTTTCAAATTAGCTGCCTGGACAGTGGTACCATTATAAGAAAAAAAATTGTGCATGAGTTATGCCAATTAAAAACAGTTGTTAGTGATGAAAGTACTTTCTGATTGGCTACTCAAACTTTACATATCCTTTGCGTTTCACCTCTGAGCAATGTGCACATGATTGGTGCCTGAAAATGTTGTAATTGTAAATCAGTTAAAATCATCTTTTTGTGCTGTATTAATATTATCTCACTGTCTTAGTATTTACTAAAAACAATTGTTCACCTCAGTGTTGGTGGCCAGTGGCAGATATTTACCTCGCTGCTTTGCGGCTTGGGAAATATCCACTTTTAGCCACCTCAACTTTACTGAAAAGTTCTTAATTATTTACTTGCTTTCATCATTGAATTAATTTAAGGCAATTGATTGGGGGCTGCTGGCTGAGAGGAAGATTGCTGCTCCCTTTAAACCTCGCATTGGATTTGAAACTGATGTGAGTAACTTTGCAGAAGAATTCACAGACATGGTCCCCACATATTCACCAGCAGCCATACCTAAGACTGCGGATAGAATTTTCAAGGTAAGACAGGTAGCAAGGCTGTCACAAAGTTTTGAAGCGGCCATTGAATGGGAGATAACATCTGTAACTTTGTAATACATGCCCAGGTGTAACTAAACAGTGATTGACCTCTTCACTCACAACATCAAGGATACTCAGCTGTAACAGGTGTTACAGCTCACAGCCCTTAGTGATAGCCCTGGATAGGTCACTATTTGGACAGTTTTAAATTGTATGGTCTGTCTTTTAATATGCCTTTGATGATTTAAAAATGGTCAATTTTAAAATGTAATTCCATAAATTAGGTATAAATATTTGGGACACTTTCTTGCCAATAAAGATAACAATTTTTTTTTTCAATCTGTGTCAGAGTTTTCCATTGGTGTAATTATTTTGTAGTTAATATCTTGGTGTACTTTGTAGAAGATTATCAACATTACACTAAACTGTGGCAAAATTGCACAAAACAAGTAAAATTTTTTTGTTACATTCTACTTTTAATATTTTTTTGTCCAGGGTTATTCATTTGTAGCACCCTCAATAATATTTGGAGAAAATGAATTTACCAAGCGTCTGGTGGCAAACAAACCCTCAGAGCACAGACCAGCTCCAGGTGCTGTAGATTATGCAGCTTTATTTGAGGTAACAATTCATTTGTATAATCATGTAGATTAAAATGATTTTAGACAGTTTATTTTCAGTAATTGGTTCTCCCAGGAGAGAAATATTCATGATTTAACAGTGTCATAATTGGGCAAACTGATCTCTCTATCAAATCACTAAGAATACTCTTTCATTAAATGAGAGTGTTTCTACTGGTTATTGCAGACTTGGTTTCCATGGATGCAGAACACTATGCTCTGATTTGCATCTCATGGCATTATCATCATCTAATTTTGATAAATTTTTCAATGATTTTTTTGTAACTTTTGAAATAATGTCACAGTGGTTCTCATTTGAAAATTTTATGGTCATTCTTTTTTTCAGGATTCTCCTTTTTTTCGAAACTATGCTATTAGTGATGAAGTTCTTGGTGATGGAAGTTTTTCAACTTGTAGGTAATGTCACACTGGGTTCCTTGCTACATTGATTGCAATCTTTGAAAAGAAAAGCCTGAACATGGGGCTCCAAGCTCAACTAATTTCAAGCTGCCATTTAACAACCCAAAGTGACAAAATTAAAAAGTACTCATTGGCCACCGTTTTTGTTCTGCAATTGAGAAATATAGCTGTCAAGTTTTCTTCAGACCAGAAACATGAAGTAACAGATCTAATCTAATTTTACTTTTATCCAGAAGATTTAGCAAACTAGACAATTAAGTGTGAAAAACGTTATATTCTGAGCTCATATGGAAATCGTGCCTTTGAGTTTAAAATGGTGGGCCATAAAAAATAATAAAAATATGATATAAAAAATATAAAAATGGAAATTACACGCATGTTAGATTAATGTTGGTCAGTGTTTTTTTTTTTAGAAAATGTGTCCACATTAGAACTAGGGTTGCGTATGCAGTGAAAGTTGTGAGCAGAAGGTGAGTAAAATCTGGCACTTTTCACAGTGTGTTAGACTCACCTTTATGCTTTACTTTTTGGTGATTAATAAAGTTGTTATTATTTTTATTATTATTATTATATTTGGCATCAGTGATGGCACAGTAGCTGTGTAGATTGATTATTATGCAAAAGTATATTTTCCTATTGTGAAACACGTTGATTAGAGAAACAAGGCTCTTATGAGGAATTCACATCTTAATTTACTGTGTTTTTGCAGGCGTGATCATATCCGGGAAGAACAGTCTCTAAGAATCTGTCAAGGTCATCCTAATATTGTGCGACTGCAGGAGGTGTTTCAGGATGATGTAAGTGCACTCATTTAAACTTTGAACTACAAGGATGTGATTCATACTTTTCACTATTAACTGTTATACATTTCCAGATCAATTAATATACAGAATTTGGTCATTCTTTAGCGGACAGATTTGTCCATCCTCATCATGAGTTTTCTATGGCAAACTGGCCACATATGATTTTGTAAGAGAAGTTAGCATACAATGAAATGTGAAACTACTTCCTTATGTTTTTAGCTGCAAAACTTTTAACTTGATTTTGTCATCTAAGTATAAAACACTTTTTTTTTTCATTTGGATGATTTTCTTTCATTTGCAGTTCCATACCTATTTAGTTTTGGAATTACTTGGAGGTGGAGAGCTCTTGGAAAGAATACGGAAAAAGAAAAATTTTTGTGAAGTGGAAGCAAGCAACATAATTAGAAAATTAGCCTCCGCTGTGGAATTCATGCATGGCCGAGGAGTTGTACATAGAGATTTAAAACCTGAGGTGTGTGCTTTAACCCTTCAATCCCTAAGAGTGACAAGGTTCTAATTTTGCCTCACAATATCACCCTGGAATCAATGTTTTAAGTTACAAGAATAGGGGAAATGATCCGCAACTGACAAAGCTCTTGATGGTTTTACAAATTCTCCCTGTTAGAACCTAGGTATAGTATAGAGAACAGTATGGAGAATATGCATAAAGATGTTAAGGTGTAAAGGGTGAACTACATCTCATTCTGTGTGTGGTGTTTATGAATAAACAGTAGCTTCTACTTTGTGCAAAAATATACTCAGATATTTGTCTTTAGACTTTATTCTTTGATCCTACCTCTAGCTTTTAAACTAGTTATGAGGATTTGGGGAAAGATCAAGATAATAACATCTACTTAATTAGTTTGAGTATTCTCATTACCTGTTCACCAGATAACTTGATACAGTATGGATGTAACAGGGAGAAGTTTCGTGATAATCACTCCTGGGAGTTGAGAGGTTAAAAGGAAATTTCAAAGCAGAAAAACTGTGAAGAGGGTCATAAATTTAGTTGTTCCTAACAATGATTTTGGTTCTGTACTTGCTTTCTTCAGAACTTACTGTTTGTAGATAATTCAGAGGATGCAGAACTAAAAATTGTGGACTTTGGCTTTGCAAGACTTAAGCCAGAAAATCAACCCTTAAGGACGCCTTGCTTCACGGCGGCTTATGCTGCACCTGAAGTAATCAGCCAAACTATGAACAGAAGTGGCTATGATGAATCATGCGACTTATGGAGTCTTGGAGTTATAATGGTGAGCAGAACAGAAATTGCTCCTGTCAGGTCTTTTGACTGATAAAAAGTTTTTTTTCCAGAGAGGGTGTCCTGAAGAATCCTATTTAATATTTAATAAATAATTATGATTATAAAGTTTTACAGGAAAGACAAATTTTTAGCTGGTAACCCTTTAACTCCCATGAGTGACCAAGACAGAATTTCTCCAATACATTATATATATACAATATCAACCAGATAAGTGATGAGAATAAAGAAAAATATCAATTTAGGGACTGATAATTAGTTGATCCAATACTAAATTCTCTGAAATAACATTATAAGAATTGTTTGGTTGACAGTAAAGAGAATTTGAAATTTGATCTGGGAGTTAAACAGTTAAGCTGCAAATTTGGTACGGAGTTTTCATGACCAGAGTTAGTGTAGATTGGGTGAAGGTTGATGGATCTCATTAAATGGGCTTTTAGCCACAATCTATGATTTCTTAAGGTGTACTTTAACCCTTTCACCTCCAAGATCTTTTTTAGTAATTCTCCTTACATTATTACTCTTTACGTTGGCTAATTTATGTAAACTGATCTACTCAGTTGATGATACCAGATTACCTTGTACTTCTCCTTACCCTCTGCCATACTATTCTTACGATGCTCATTGGTATTGGATCAACTAATAACCCCCTAATTACTATTTTTCTTAATTCTCATAATTTGTTTGTATGATATTGTAGTAATTTTGTAAGGAGAAATTCTATCTCGGTCACTTATGGGAGTTAAAGGCTAAATAAAAGTCGTAACTATTGTTATCACTTTGTGTCTGATTTATGAATGAAGTTATAAGATACTTTTCATGTTTTTCACCACAGTACACCATGTTGTCCGGTCAGGTACCATTCCAGAGCAGTCGTAGCTTTAGATCTTCAGATTTCATCATGCAAAGAATAACACATGGTGACATCAGATTTGAAGGGCAGCAGTGGGAGTCAATATCACCAGCTGCAAAAGACCTCATCAAAGGTTTGATGTCAGAGTTTATCAGTTCATTGAAGCTTGATCCTCCTATGCAAGTCATAATATTTTTATTCAGTTTCTCAGGTAGTCATTTATGTAAATAATAGTACTAATTATATCTATCAACTAGCTAGTGAATGTAGTTTGATTGGTCAATTTAGTGGGCCGCATTTCCCTGTTTGCTCCACTCGTTTTCTCTGTCTGTACTGTTAGTTATGGAACCTCGTTTTTTTTCAATCAGTCTGTAAACCACAGTATATAACTCAAACTTACTTTAGGTAAGAGTTATTTATTAACTGAGTTGGCCATGGGGTACTAGACAGGAATTATTTTTCTTGAAGTCATGAAGTACAGACTGATTGCAGGGTAGTGAAGGTACACCTGCCAAATGTTTTCTTCCAGTTTGCCGTGCGTCTGTTCAGTAATAGATCACAGATGACGTCAAAATGGGGTAAGAACAAAAAAGTGGCACATGAGGTGTAGCCGAGTGTGTCACTGATGTTCTTACCACATTTTGACATCCTCTGTGATCTATTACTGAACAGACACACGGCAACTTGGAATCTATTTGTTTTATATAATAACGAATTTAAAAAAGTTTTAATGATGACGTCATCTATAGGTCTGTCCTCCAATAGATCATAAGTGAGAACCAATCAGAATGCGTGCATAACTGAGCTTATTATATAAAAGTATTTTGACTCATGACTACTTCTCTTTTTGTTTTTTGTCTGGCATTTTTCTATCCAATCATAATACTATAGTTAGCTAAATTTAATGTGTGTGTGTCTCTCTCTCTCCTCTTCAGGGCTTTTAACAGTGGATCCAAGCAAGAGATTAAAAATTAGAGAAGTTGTGAACCACGAGTGGCTTAGGGGTGGTACATGTCTGCCCCATACCCCTCTCATGACCCCAGGAATTTTGGGCAAAGGACATAAAAGGACTTACGTGGAGTCTGCATTAAATGTAACATATGATGCTTTTAACAGAGCACATAAGGAGGGATTTACCTTAATGGATGTGCAACAAGCGCCACTTGCCAAGAGACGGAAAAAGAACAAGACAACGTCAACAGAGAGTAGGTCTACCACAAGTAGTGATCTAAGCAACAGTGGAGGAACATCCCCCTTATTAAATCCAAGATGACACTGGTCACTCAAATGGTAAATTTTTTTTGAATAATTTCGAACTTGTTACAAATGGAGAAAAACTGTAGATATGGCACACTGTGAGTGATGCAAATACCGTGTAAGAATGAATGAATTGCAGTTTGTATGACTGATAGTATAATTTGTTAATAAAATATTTTAAGAATAATAGCAATATTAAGTTCACTTGGAAATGTAGTTTGAAGGTGGATGTTAAACAATTTGCTGTTGTGGTGAGAATGAAATTTTATAATTTATTGTGTGATATGAGTTTTTGTAGTGCACAAGGTTGCATTTTAACAATTTTTTTTTAGAAAACACACTCAAATAATTTGCAATACATAATGACAAGATTTTGGGGTACTTTATAATTACTAGTCAAGATTGGTTGGGGACACAAATTTCTTAAAATTGTAGTGTATATAACAGTAAGTTATTATTTCTTGTAATAGGACTGAAAGTAATGTTACAATGGCATCCATTGGAATCCTCATTATAATAGTTATTAGTAATACTTGTTCTTATGACTATGCTGTATGTCCATATAAAAGCTCTTGTCAAGATTTTTTTTTTCAAATAAATGTTTGGGTGCACAGTAGAGCAAAAAATTATATAGAGGTATTGTAGTTGACCTGAAAGTTATGACTCACCAACTGGTAGAAATTGCTAGCCTTCTCCCTCTCTTCAGAAGTTCTTGAAATGGAATTCTTACCCTTTCCTGCCCAAGGGAAATGCCAAATTTTTTCTAAAATGAGAGTAATGAACCACAAGATATAGACCATGTATAAGATATCATTTTATAGGTTTTTTTGGGGTGCATGCTATTAAGGACACCAACAGATGTAGAGGAGGTAACTGAAAGACTGTCTGAGAAGTGTCCAAAGTGTAGAATAAAAAACCTTGACATTTTTTGTTTGCCTTGTACATGTAGAGTATACCACTAAACTATAGGCTAAATTGCAACCCTCAGAGCATTGATTGTGGTGAGATATCACCTGAACCAAAACAGTGTAAAGACAAAAAGTTCCAAAAGTTGCAGGAGTGGTAAACCAAGTCTTATATTGGAGGGGGCCATGATTTTATGCCTTCAATGTGCAGATCTTTCGATGACCTTTTGGTTGCAAAAAATTCAGAAAAAATGAATAAATATTTAGCATGTAATGGCATCCTGTACTATGTGGTACTTTTGAGCTGGAAAGGGTTAAGAAACTGAACTGATGTTAAAATAATTGGCATTCATAGATATCCATCTGAGTGTACAGTGATCATAAAAAATTTCTTTTTTCAACACATCCTTCTCTCTTTAACTCCTAAGATCTGATTGTTAATTCTCCCTTCTAGCCACCACATATTTCCTTGTGAATTAGTTTCGAGAATTTGATTTTAGATCCAAGTAACAAGTTAAGCCTAAGTTTCAGTATATTTATTTCCTGTTTGCAAAATGATGTTTGAATATCATGAGAAGTCACATTAATTTTTAATGACTTTTGGGAGTTAAAGGGTTAAAATAGCCCTAATTTTATAGTATGCAATTTTGAATTTTTTTTTTTATTTTAAGCTTACTTTCCTAATAAGCCATTTTACAGTTGTGTTCTTAATTGCCAAGCCTTTGATTTGGAGTGAGGCTGAAGGTGACCTTGTGATAGAGACCAATATCTAGTAAGCATGATAACAAAGTAATTTACATTTGAAAAGCAGCAACATTTTTATCCCAACAAGGTCAATCTTAGCAGCCTCACTTCTGTTCAAAGGCATGGCAGACAAGTTGGCAACTGTTAAATGGATTATTATTAATAATGTCTGCAGTCAATTTTTGTAATGAAAATGTTTCTCTCTTCTGGGGCACCAAGTAGCCAGGGTTTTAGATATATTTGGGTAACCCTACTTTGTTAGTTTTTCTGATCACCGAAGTGTTCTTTTTTTATTTGGTAAGGAATTTGACTTCAAGAAAGTTTCTCAAGGAGTTTCACTTTGAGGTGATAATGGGTAATATTGGCCTGTTTACTTACCTTGTGCTAACAAACAAGATCTGTTTTCACAATCAGTGTCTGTAAAATAAATGCTTGCACTCAGTATTAATTGCAAAACTTGAAATAGGTCTATTGTACTGTAATTAAACAATGGTAGTGGTTAAAATTTTTGTCATTAAGAACACTAATAGTAAGTAACACATTCAAGCTTTTTTACAAACTACATGAATTGCGAATTTTGTTTTGTTTTTCATTACGAGCCTTAAAAGTCTTCCAGATCTTCAGGAAAATTGTTTGAAAGGCTGAAAATCAAGGCAACATTATGTCGCATCACTAGTAAATATTAACTGTTATCGACAATACATAATGGTCTGCATTTTTATGCCAAACGCATGTTTTTTCCTTTTTGTCTGAAGTGTAGCTATTTTAAAGGAGTGAGAACAGACAATGTAAGTATGAAGAAAGACAAGTAAGGTTGGAAAGATAATCGATTAATGTAATTACAGGTAGCACAAGTTGACCAGACTGAATAATAAATGAGGCTTTTAAAAAGTTTCAAAATGTAGACATAATTTCACTGAATGTTTCCAGACTGATGTTAATTTAACGATTAAGTTGGATGAGCTTGGGTCCTGTTGTACAGAGTAGGAAATGTTATCCAGAATTAGGATAATATTTTAATTCTATTAGTTACATACACTGCAAGACACTTTTGGAATAAACTTTTAACTCTCTCATAACAGCGTTAACTTTACAACACTATTCATCTTATTTCAAATCTTTGCAAAAGCAGACTTTAATTTCATCTTACAAACTCCATAAATCTGTGCAGGAAGAGTAGCCACCATCTTGTGTACATATTTCATGGAATTCCAACCACTGACCTACATTCCCACAGACAGACAACAAAAACATGGATTCTCTACGTAATGGGGGCAAAAAGCTGCTAATGGTAAACAAAGCCACACATAACCTGGGGAGAAGGAAAGAGGAATGAGGGGTGAGGAGTGAATACTGTAATTTCCGTTCATTTACCCGTATGGCAGATTACCCGCATCGGTCAATTTTTGCAATAACGAGGAAAAAGTTTCAACAGATTACCCGCACTGGCAGATAACCCGCACCCAAAAACAAGAGGAAATCGTCGACTCGCACAAAGTTCCTTCATTGATTTTGTTAACATGATACCTTTAGCGTGCAACTAATAAATTTTCACACTTTTTGTCTTTGCTTTTTCATTGAGAATGATACCACCTGTAAAAATCTGTTCTAAAAAAATCGATATCTCAAGATCTATAAGTCGAATAAATCCCTTGAAACGGGAAATTAGTCTTTCACTCAAGGCAATGCCAGCTAAGAAATTTCACTTGTGCTTCAAAAATTATCTCGCGTCATTAATTATGCGGCGCCACGAAATGAACATGTCGCATCATTTTCCGTGTGAATTGCTCAAATTTTCACAATTAAAGTCTTTTAATATCAAGTTCGCTTCCCGTGTAAGTGAGAATTGTTTTTTGAAATTAAAAAGAAACAAGTTGTGAATTTGACAAGGTAAGAAAGTAAGAGTACAAACAAGATAATACTTTGAATCGAGTTTTGTATGTTTTCGATTTGCATCAGCTTTCATCGAGAGTATTAAAGTCTCTTATTGTAACGTGCAATCTGCACGAAATAAACGAGTTATTACAGAGGTTTTTTAAAGAGTATCTTTAGCGCATCTTATCATCTCTGGTTTTTTCCTGCTTATAGTTTTAAGACTTATAAGCTTTAAAAATTATCGTATTACCCGCACCTTCCTATAACCTGCACTAACAACTGTTTGTGGAAAAATTAACAGATTACCCGCCGGTAATCGGCCTGAAATTGCAGTATTTACTTTGACTAGTGCACTAAGTACATGACAAAGTAGTCTTCTTTCTGGATTTCAACTAAGAATCAAAATGCTACCATAATTTTGACGATGTTAATACATGTCTGTAATACAAGGACTGATTTACAAATAGATTATTTGAAATCCCTCTTTCCCAGTATAACCTTTGGAGTAAGTCACTAGTTCAGCAGTCATCTGCGAAATTATCATTATTATAGTCTAAGAAAGATTCCCAGTTAGTGTCACATTTGTTCACGTGTCTCACTCCTCTAAGGCACGGTTTTTTGCAGAGAAACTGCCTTTTGCCAATTTTATGACCCCATGCTGAGGATTGCGCTGAAAGAGAGGGACTGCCTCATGGTTCAGATACACAAGTAATCCTAAATAATACTTTGATCACGTCACTTTTGTGTACACGTAACAGATTTCAAACACATTTTGTACACAATTGAGACTCGTGTCCACTAACAACGTTCCCACAAACAGTGATTCTAGAAGTGCACAATGATTGGTTCATGCCCAGTTGCTTTGACAAATTTCATGAAATCTTCGGGTTTCATGCTTGTTGTTGCTTCGTTAGTCATCGGATGGAAATGCACTTTCTCGTGATTATCCTCCACAAAACTTGCGTCTAGTAAGAACGTGACTTCTTGATGGGTGTCGTTGAACAGAGATAGGGGTGTCACGCAACCCTGTCCGACACCAAGTTTTTCCAACATAACTGCTTCATCTGCAAACCGAAATCCTCCACTTGCTCCGACTTTTTTGGCAAGATCGTTCAAGTTGATCTCGCGAGTCGCCAAAGCCGTGAAGAGCCATAAGCGTTTTTTCTTCTTGTCCTTCAAGAAAAGATTCTTGCTGTGCGCTCCTGGGAGATGGCCGATATACGGCATCATGGCTTCCACGGTGAAAACTGCGGGATGTTCCACCGTTTCTGAAGTGATTCCCAAGTTCTCAAGGTATTCCATGAGTTCTTTCCGTCCACCGGCCATTTCAAAATGTTCAAAATGTTCCAAATGGAAATGCGAAGGCAAGACGTGCAGAGAAGCAAACTTACCTCTATGTCGTGTAAAACAACATTTTGTGTATCATTGGAACTGACTACCATTTCAAGAAGCGGTTTTAGACAAACAAATGAAAAATTACCAAAATGCACTTATATCTTTAGATCCTCTTCAATACGTGTACTAGGCACGTTCAAAATCTTCTGCAATCATTATTTAAAAACCGTCAACGCCGTTCCCAGCATACAAGGACATTTTGTTTCACTAGATATGTTATAGTGTAATACCGCTGACCTATTAAAGTCCATATCATGGCGCATGAAACAGACGAGAGAAATCTTTGCAATTAATATTATTTCCAAATGACCTTTCTAGCGCGTCACGCTTAATTGTGTGATATTATGACGCCCCTTTACAATGAATAGGACTTTAAGAGTTTCTCTAAGGAGCCAGGTAAGAGAAAAAATCGGTGTAACCGGTACTTTTGTCATTTGCTTCAGCGCCGGTGGTGGCGAGGACTGCTCTTGGCAACTTGTCACAGTTGAGATCACGACGAGTTCCACGTGAAGTATTTTGTTTACGGTTTTCAACTAGATAGATGAAAGCTGGGTCGCATCATGTGAACTCTCTACTGTAAGGGTGATTTGAATGTTTGAACTCTTTGTCGAGTACATTTGACTGACAATACGATAGAAGCCGGTGAAGCAATATTGTCTTCAGAAAATAATTATGTAACATACTTTCAGTTAAAAAACTCATAGTGGTTATGTCGATTACCTGAGTTCCTCTTGAAAAATAACTCCCTGAATCTTTGTTGAGGAAAAACACCTAAACTTTGTACTGAGAGAAAACTGCAGTTTTAAATGGATGAGGAATGTTTGCTTTTCAGATCATCCACCACATTTGTGACAAGTACTCCTTGCAGTTCACAAGGCCAGTTACTTGTGTATGGAAGCATATTGAAAAAAGATGTAAACATCAAGATTCTTCAAATGCCTTTAAGGTACCTTTTCTTAATTTTCTGATTTGATAAAACTTTGTCTTTTAACTCCTTCAAACCCATTGCCACATCTTGGAGATCCAGTAGTCTTGCTTTTTCAGGAAATTAGGGTGGTATTTGTATTTTTACTGAACAGTATTTGTTTTAATCTAATTTTTAATATTCATATCCTGTTCCTTTTTCTTTTTTTATGACAGTTTCTGGGCCATGCAAGGACAGCACTCCACAGAAGATGGCAGCATTCCTTACCACAGAAACCTGGTTCACAGGTACACTGTAATTTTTTTACGACCACTCAAAAATTTTATCACATATTATATACCTGTCACTTGTTATCTGAAATGTAACATTTGCCGCACAGCCCAGCAATTAAAGGTTCCCAGCATTGCATATATAGTTAACAGAATTGTGTTGTTTAACCCTTTAACTCCTGTGAACGACCAAGACAGAATTTCTCTTTACCATATCAATACAAATCAAGCAGACAAGTGATGAGAATAAAGAAATTATCAATTAGGGGACTATTATTTGATTTCAATACCAAATTCTCCAAACTAACATCATATGAATTGTTTGACAGAAGGTAAGGAGAATTACTAATGAGATCTTGAGGGTGAAAGGGTTAAGGTTTGGAAAGAAACTTTTGGGGAATGTGGTTAACATGGAGTAGAGGTCATGCAGCCCTCAAAAGGGTTATCCACCATTTGAAAATAGTTACAGTTATTTGGATTGTGGGACATTTTACGTCTTATGACAAAATCCATAGTATTACACAATTATGACTCCAGTAACTCAATGTTTCATTTGAAAGTGGTGTCTAAAGAGAAGTACATGATAACAGGATTATGCATGGATGGTTTGATATTGTTAAGTAAACACAAAAGTTTAAGAAAAAGACAATCTTTTACCTTGGATTTCAAATTTAAAATATTGGTGAAAGTTTCATGAAGCCATGCAGTTGAACACCAATTATATGATTATTGATGTGTTCCGAAGTAAATTTTTTTTCACTCTCGTCTCAATTTTTCAGTTATATATTGCATTAAGACCAGGTATGACCATTAGACAGCTTGCTGCTGAGATGAGTTGTGATCCAGGTAATGTGCCAATAAAATTTTATGTTATTAGTAACAAGTAAATCGTTGTCTTCAGATGATTTCAAAATCACATGAATATTAGTAAAATTTAACCCTTTAACTCTCATGAGCGGCCAGGACAGAATTTCTCCTTGCAATATCAATATGATATCACGCAGTCTAATGATGAGAATAAAGAAAAATATCAGTTAAGCTACCAGTTTATTAGTTGATCCAATGGCAAATTCTCAGAACTAACATCATAAGAATTGAATGGTAGACAGTATGGAGAATTACAGGGATTTTGGGAGTGAAAAGGTTAATCCAAAGTAATTTGAATTCTTAAACAGGTTCTCTAGCTGACATACTGGTTGAACTTGGCGAAGAATTGCCCAATGGTCTGCTCACAGGTACATGGAAATGTCTTTTCATTGTAGAAAACAGTGAAATATTTTAGAGTCATGTTTTTGTGTATTTTTTGTTTTATCATTAGTAAGTACTTGAAAATTCCAAAACTTAGCTCGTAAAAGAGACAGATTTACTGGACCTTTCAATCCCTAAGAGTGACCAACATCTAATTTCTTCTTACAGTCGTACACTGTAAGTGCAGCCTAAATAATTCCCACCAATCATGGGAAATATCTAGGAAGGGATCACCATACTGAGAAGCTTTGATTGTTAACCAAATTCTCCTTGTAAGTGCTAGGGAGAATGTACAGCAAAGAGTAGAGAGAACACAGATCTGCATTAGGGTGTAATGGGTTATTTAAAGAGACTGAAAGAAGTTCGTGTTCTGTGGTATTTTTATGTGCAGTGCTTTCACCAGACCAAGCTGAGCTGTTGGTGATGGAACACAACATGACTCCTGTTCACCGAGATCTCAAAACAGAAACAAGGTCTGAAAAATGGTTGAAAATATGATACTTGATAGTTAATGATAATAAATAATATCAAGGATCTCAAGTTCCCTTATATTCAAGTTCATCATTTTGACAAGATTCAGTTGTCTTTAGAATTTATATTTACACTGTCAATTGAGTGTATTATGTGCTCAATGCATGTAAAGTGCTCTGTATAAATTTTTGTTTATTGTAAGAAAAACTTAAGATTATTTTCTGTAATGACTTATAATTTTTTTTTTCAATTTGGCTTCATTAAAAAAAAAACAGCCATTCCCTTGAATCAAGGCCTCCTGTAGTGACAATTATGGGTCATGTTGACCATGGCAAAACCACTCTACTTGACACACTGAGAAGAACATCAGTAGTGGCCGGGGAGGCTGGAGGAATCACACAACATATTGGCGCTTTCTCAGGTAATAAAAAGAGACTAATACATTGGTGTGCATAGTTATAGAATTTCTCTTCGAGTGTTGAATTAGGTATCTTGTGGGTGAGGGCAGGAAACAAGTAAGTTATTAAGGTGAACTATCTACAAGTAACCATGCATTATTTTGTTTATGACATAGACACCATGGGCCTATTCTGACCAAAAAAGTTGACTTTATTTGTAACAGTTATGGGAAAGATCAGTGACTTGTCAGTAGCTGATTGGCATAATCAAACACATAAAGAATTATGGTAGTTTTGCTAATGTGCAGTGATGGCTTTTCTCAGGGCTGGAAATCCTTATAAAACACTGCAGTTAATATCAATAATAGCAAAAAGTAGTTTTTATCACTCCTAGTCCTCCTTAAATTGGTCTCTTTAAGCTGTCAGGCTAGCTTCATTCTTATATTAACCCTTTAACTCCCAAGATCTGATTGTTAATTCTCCCCTGTAGCTGCTACACATCTCCTTGTAAATTGGTTATGAGAACTTGGTGCTAGATCAAGATAGCAGCTTCTACCTGATAAGGTTGAATATTCTCATTACCTGTTTTCTGAAGAATGTGTGGATATTGTAGGGAGAAGTTTTATGTTAATCACTTCTGGGAGTTAAAGGGTTTAAAGAAGCATATATACAAATAAAAGTAATGTTGCAGGGATATCAAAACAAAGCAGTGATCACCAGAGTTTTGCTGGTTACTTGATAGCATGTCACTGGTTACTCTGGTCAAAATGAATACCTTTTGGCCCTGAATGAACTTTTCATAGCTGACTACTTTTGCGGAGTCTACTGCAAAACATTTTGAAACCCATGTTGTCTTCCTTTTGCAGTCAGCATTAAAGGAACAGACAAGACAATTACATTCATTGATACACCCGGCCATGCTGCATTTGAAACAATGAGGGCCAGGGGGGCTAATGTGACAGACATTGTTGTACTTGTTGTGGCAGCAGATGAAGGTGTGAAGCAGCAGACAGTAGAGTCCATAAGACATGCCACCAGAGCAAAAGGTATGATGTCAGTCAATAGTATTGTATAAGATTGTGTGCATGTTGCCATCAGATTTTACTTGCTGGTAAAAATATTTCTAGTTACAGTAGGCTGAATTTTATTATTTCTTGATACCTCCTAGCCCTGCTTAGAAGGAATCTAACCCTGTACCTGCTAACACGTTAATTCACATGACTGACCAAGAAAGAGTTTCTCCCTTTACTATCAAGTTATCAAATACAACATTAAGCAGACAAGTTATAAGAATAAAGAAAAATGTCAGTTAAAGGGTTATTACTTGATCCAATCAACTTATAGCAATAAGAATTGCAAGGCAGGCAGTAAGAAGTATTACTAAATGAGATGTATAATTTGTATAACTGAATGATTTGGCTGAAATTCATGAAGTCCATGCCTTGAAGTCCTCTGAGACTAGCCACAGGCCAGAGCAGCCAAATGCAGATCACCTTTCTTGGTGTACATGTAGTTTCCACAAATAACTTTTAGTAGTCAAGTGTGCTTAATCTGTGTTGCTAAGATACACACCAAGTTTTTTCCACTTGGATAAATGACCCATGCTCTATTGAGCATGTGTGCCTTAAATCTGAGCTGAAACAACATGGTTCTGTAACATGCAGTACAAAGTAAGAAAATGAGGGTAGTAAGATATGTATTATGATTATGTGCGGGTTCAGATAGAGGGGGGAAGATTTTAATCCAGACAAGTCAAAGCAACTTCTAAATTTAGCAGGCTGTATGATGAATTATAGCCCATTCAGTTGACCAATCATAGTGCAGCACATGCTAACTCAAACTGAGAGATGTGATGATATAATGTATTTCAAGAACTAGATTTGATCCTTTAAAACACCTCTGAATTCTAAAGTATGACTGTTAATGAGATTGCATTCCATTTGGTTACTGTTCTGTAGAAGACTCCAACATAAACCTTTGGTTCATTTCAAAATTATTGAAATGCAGAATGTGAAATTGTAATTATTGTTTTTAATTTAACATACTAATGCTGATGTTTCTCACCTGCAGTTCCAATAATTGTTGCACTCAATAAAATAGACAAGCCCAGAGTTAATGTGGTATGTTTCTTTCTTATTTTTTATGTAAAATTGTCTAATCTTTCAGTTGCTGCAAATTAATTAACTAAACCCATAGCCTCTAAGAGTGACAAGCATCTAATTTCTCCTCACAGTATCATTGCTAAATCAAACATAAAATTCTTGAGAATTAAGGAAGTGATCATCATTTTAAGAAATTGATCCTTTGTTGTCAAACAAATTCTCCTCTTCAGTGCCATTGGAAATATATAGAGAATGGTGTGGAGAAGATGCATATTGATGTTAAGGGTATAGGGTTAAAATGAATGGTTACCGCTATACTAGCATTAATATTGTGGACTGCAGATATTTAACTTACTTCTAACGGTATTTGCAGTAGTTATACTGTAGCATACTTATTTTGAACTAAAAGTAGAAACGTCAGGTCCGTTTTGATTTTCCAAAAGAAAAATACTGACAGGCAGAATCAGATTGGGTTTACTTTTAATTACCTGTTATCAGTAGTTTCCTGTCTAACTTTTGGTGAAAGTTCTACAGACAAACCACAGAGAAAAGAATAACCAGGACAATTAATCCCCAATTACCTTAAAGTGGGTCACTCAATCAACACTAGCCCTACAGTGTAGCACTGAAATGTTAGAGTGAGAGGGATTTATAGAAAACAGTTTAGAAAGCAGTGTGGCTGAATGCTTTGGCTGTTAGACTTCAAATCTGGTTTTCCCAGGTTCCAACAGGTTCCTTCTCACTTAATTTTTGTTCTTGGCTGCCCAGCAATGTCAACTTCTTGGCTACACTTTTTATATAGCCAACTGGTCAGTCTCCTGTCAGTCAGGATTTTTAAACACTGTTTTATTTACAATGTTTCCAATTTGTTTGTATTGGGCCTGAAAATCCCCACTGGCAGAGTAGTCAAGTAAGTGTACATGACACATGTACACAGTAAATTACAAATTATGGTGAGTTCTTTGTTATCAAATCTGACAGAGTCTTTGTTCTATTACTGTTTAAATAATTTTATGCAGGAGCAAGTCAAAAAACAGCTTCTGCAATATGGAATTCAACTAGAGGAGTTTGGAGGGGACATCCAAGCTGTAGCAGTGTCTGCCTTAAAGGTATGAATGATTAGTCAGTCAAAATGATAACTAAAAGAATTATTCCACATGCAATGAGTGCATTCTGACCCATAGCACAATGCTTAATGGTCAAGTTATTAATATTTATTAACTTTTATTTAAAAGATAAATTTAAAGCTTCTTTTAAGGGAGAAGTGCAAATGGAAGGGTAATTCATGAGAAAGAAAAGAAGAAAAAAAATCTTTTGGTCAAAATCCTTGGACCCCTGAGAGTGACCAGCATCTAATTTCAGTTGATACAATATCACCCCTGAATCACACATAGTCACACATGGTCATGAGCATAAAGGAAATGGTTACCAACAAAAGAAGCTCTTGACTTTAACTATAAACAAATTCTCCTTGTCAGCACCTTAGGAAATATGTAGAGATCAGTATGGAGAATATGCATACTGATGTAACAGTGAAAAGGGTTGAAATGAAACCTTAAATTTTAATGATCTACAATCGCGGTTTATTTGATTAACACTTGTATAAGGAAAGTAATCTCTCTCATGTTGAAGGGAACCAATTTTGATGAACTGCTGGAGGCAATCCACACTCTTGCAGAGTTACAAGATCTAAAAGCCAAAGTAGATGGGCCAGTGGAAGCAATTGTCCTAGAGTCAGGCAAAGACAAAGGAAGGGGGTATGTCTAATTGTTCTTAAAAGTATTTGCAGTAGTTATATTTTATCCTAGTTGACAATTTTCACTATAGTGTAAAACAGTCATGTCTGGAACACCCTTAATTGACTTCAAATAGACTAATTATGAATGTCTTGGGGAGATTTTGTGTGTCATATATGGCTATCTGTACAGTTGATTATGGGTGATGAAGGTAGACTCGTTTTAATTTAATCATGGACAAATTTTATTTCAGCTCCATTGCAACCATTCTTGTGAATAGTGGAACACTGAGGATAGGTGATATTCTGCTTTGTAATCAAGCATTTGCAAAGGTAAACTTCATGCTGACTTGAGGTTGTTAAAACCTTTCTCTAAATTAAACACATTTGAATAAATGGACAGGAAGGGTATAGGGAATAAGTAAATTGCCCAGAAAATTGAAAAATTTTGTTTACAGCAAAAATTTTGGTCATCTCAGAGTATAAGAGTTTCTTCCTACTAAATACAAATATAACCAGTTTTCTAGCCTCTAGCCATGGTACAATTCCCAGTCCAGCTATAATTATGGGTTAGAAAACTGGTAGTAACAGTTAATTGATGATATCATAATGGAGTTTGGTTTTTTTGGACCTCAAGGTACGTCTCATTCTTAATGACCATGGTCAAACTGTGACAGAGGCCATGCCCTCAACTCCAGTAGAAGTAGGGGGTTGGAGGAACACTCCTTCTGCAGGAGATGAGGTCATCCAAGTTGAAACAGAGGTAAATTCTACAGATTTATTAGTTAACTTAACTCTTTCACTCCCCCAATCTCATTGGTAATTCTCCTTACTGTCTGCTGTACAATTCTGTCGGTGTAAGTTTGGAGAATTTGGTATTAGATCAACTAATAAACCCCTCATTGATATTTTTCTCTATTCTCATCACCTGTTTGCTTGATATTGTATTGATTTGGTAACTAAAGGAAAAATCCATCCTGTTATTGTCACTTGTAAGAGGTAAAGGATCAGTTAGCAATAATTCAAAAAGTGGAGAGAGAAACAGACAAATTACTAGATTAAAGTAGTTTACTTTTACACAGTGTAAGACAACAATTATTTTTAAATACTACTTCTTCAGTTAAATCTGAAAGTCTAACTTGTTTCAATGTTAGACACGCCATCTTCATTTTCATAGCTGGAGCTACACCATTCTTGAAACTGTCCTTGGAAATCAATCATTCAACATCCTTCTTACAAAATATGTTTGTAGGAAGAAGCTAGGGATGCTGTAGAGAAGAGAAAGGCAGTATTACGGCAAAGGAAACTACTTTCAGAAGATGTGCATAATGCCCTACTGGATGTAGAGCTGAGCTACAGAAAGGAACCAGCTCCCAAGCAGCCTAGCAGCGAATATGACTGTAAAGACAAATTAAATATTATCATTAAAGGTTTGTGCAAAATTATACAGTTGTTAGAATTCAAGGTTAAATGGGCCTGCTAAACATTTTCTCCTTGTCAGCACCTTTAGAAAAGCAAAGAATGTTAGAGGTAAATAGTTAGGATCCCCTAAAAATGATCTGACTGAACTCTTTCCTAGTCAGAGAAAAAAATTATTCTGCTCTTCATTGTTGTGATGCTGTGAATTGATGTGACTGATCATGATATGCATTAATTTAGAGGTCACTGAAAGAAGCGATTCCTTACAACACAAATGTTATTCGCAAAATTTGAAATTTATTTTCTTCACAACCTGTAAAACTATATAAATTTACCATCAACAACATAACTTGTTTGTGAGTACTATGGCCTTGCACTCAAACTTTTATAGTTTACCATATCATCAAATAAAGTTAACTGTCTCAGGTGTAAATACACTATATATACATCATAACAATCAATTTGAGGTCTCTTCTTGAGTAACTGAGAGTGAAGTTGTTGTGGTCAAATTTGACCTTGCCAAACAGGTGATGTTGATGGTTCCTTAGAAGCAATCAGCGATGCTTTAAAAACATACAAATCAAAGATGGTGAAGTTGACAGTTCTATCCAGCCAAGTTGGAACTGTTACTGAAAGTGACATCAAGCTTGCAGAGACTTTTCATGGTAAGAAAACTTAAATCTATTTTCTTTTCTCTGAAACTGCAAATGTTTATTCACACTCTATGTACAAGTCTGTTCACAATTATTCTGGATCATCAAAATTGTTGCAATTGGTGCTGTTGTTGTTGTTGTTTCTGTTGTTGTCAATTTACCATCATTTTCATCATTACTGTCACTATCTTACCTCTCCACCTCATGCCAACTACGTCAAATAGGTAGCAGATGTCCTTCCCCATTCCAGTTCTTAAAAATGTCAATTACAGCACCACATAAATACCTTTCAGACTAAGATTTAGTTGAGATGAACTTATGCTTCAAGCAACTACATTACAATAACTTACACCCAGGATCAAATGCCATAAATTAAAGGAATAGTAATTTTAACCTGATAATGATTTCAGAATCTTTTATTTCCCTCTGTACTTGCAATTAATTACAGGTATAATTTTGGGCTTCAATGTGAAGATTACAAAACAGATGTTGTCTTTGGCTAGACAGCGTGGTGTGGATGTGAAACAGCACAGAGTAATTTACAAGCTTTTGGAAGATGTTAAGGTACATCGAATTAGTATGTCGTCTCAACTTTCCAGCCAGATTATTTTTCTGAAAAGGTTAATATGTAAATGAAATTATCTCATCTGCTATGTTCCACCAGTTTTATTAACTCAACTTGGTCCTGGTCTCCCTCTCTCTTTCACTCTGACGTTAGTATTGTGCCATTTACTATTTTGCTTCATTTTAATGTAGTGAACACCTGGAACAAGCCACCTATGGCACATGTCTACAGGGTGCAGAACGAATTATAATGCATCTTAAATCATAGTAGCAAAGCAAACAATCTTAAAATTTTAATAGAGAGCACTAAAAAGCTCATAGTATTTTTATTAGAACCCTAAATTTTCTGATGCTGTTAGGTAACTATTTTTGTGCCATTTGTTTTATTATGGATTTATTGGGTCATTAATCTTACAGTTGTAATTATCTTGCATTGCACTTGCAGGCTGAACTAAACAAGAGAATCACTCCTATTCATGAAGAAAGCGTTACTGGTGAGGCAGCAGTTCTTAAAGTGTTTAAACTTACTGGCCGACGGAAGGCCACAGTAGCTGGTTGTCAGGTCAAGACTGGGACACTTGATCGCAAGAGTTTGTACAGAATAACAAGGAATAATGAAGTTGTATATGAAGGTGATGTCTTGTTTTAATTTGATTTGGGTTGATAAAAATAATCCTGTTTTTATGTATTTGTCTGTACTTTTTGATGATAAAACTGGAAAGGCTCTGATTTCACTTATTTTTCAGCTAGCATACTTATTCCTACTTATATCCTGTCCACAACTTTCAATACTGTTTCCCCTTTTGAAAAGGGTGAGACTTGATGCAAGCAATGTTTTTTCATGAAATCATTTCACCCTAAGCTTGCAACTTAATGATGAATATGTAACTTGCTGTAGTTGACACCGTTGATGTCAAACAGCAGAGAACAATTAGACAAAAGAATGATAAAATCAATGAAAGAGATAAGTTTGGCAGTTGGTGTTCTCTTGTGACATGTTCTGTGTCTTCTCCACAAAAGAGCTGTGACTTTCTCCTGAAATTTCAAAGCTTGTCAAGAGACTGGAGAGGGGATTTGTTTTTCTTATTTTGTACTTTGATGACTTCCTCTTAAAGCTATTGGTTAAAAAGTCCAAAAATAAAGAATCAAATTTTTTTTGGCTGTCGCGGTAACTAAATGTTTCTAAACTGACTTTTTTTTACCAGGACGACTGGCCTCCATGAAGCATGGTGTTGATGATATAAGCCAAGCTAAAAGGGAAACAGAGTGTGGCTTGTCATTTGAGAAGTTCTTGGAAGTCCAAGAAGGAGATGTGGTTCAATGTTACACTGTGAATGTCATTAAACCAGAAATTGATTGGGATTGGGGTTTCTGATATACCACAAAAAAAAGATAATCTCTTCATGTAAAATACTTATAAATTAATCTTGTCTTGGGCTTTTTAATATCAATGATAGGTGGACTTTACAATGTAATAGGTGGTTAGCTTCAAATTTTATCAAAAATAATGCATCAAGGTTGTATATGATCAATGCGCTTAAGCTGTCTTCCCATTTGTAAAAAAAATGGAAAACATTTTTGAACTGTATCCATCAAGAGAAATAAAGCAAGTAAACTTTGAAATTATTATTTAACTTTATTTGTTCCCCCTAAAAACAATTTTAATAAAAAAATTTTGATCATGGTGAAAATGGTACAGTTGTCATCTCTCATGTTTTTATCCAACACTAGTGCATTTCTGTTACCTCAAATTTTAAAAATAAAGGTAATACCCTCAGGTTTTTTCATGATAATTATTATCTAGTGGTATTGCACATTATTTACCCCTTTCCAAATGTTTTGTTACATGCAGAAATCATTAGGTCAACTTTTCACCTTAGTCAGAAAAGCTCTTTCTTGTCATAAAATCAAAAAGGTGGATGTGTTGTGAAATTTTGTTTTTCTTTATGTTTTCTGGGGTATTTAGGCAGGACCTTGATGTATGTACAAGAAATGAAACTGTTCAGGGATGCAATGAGTTCGTGGGCTTCACTGCACTCGCACTTCAGTCTTTTCCATTCTTTGGTGTTCATACATCAGACCAAACTTGTAGTTAATATTGCAAAGAGTGTTGAAAATAATAGGATACTACTACCTATAAGTATAATCAAAATTTTACTTGTTTCAAGGTTGCTCACAAATTTGATTCAATCAAAATTTGTGGCTGTGAATTTAATTTAGAGGTCACTTACAGATTGATTAATTACACAACAACATTATCCACAAAATTTGAAATTGAATTCAATTTTATTTCCTTCACAACCTGTAAAACTATATTTACCATCAACAACACAACTTGTGTGCAAGTACTTCATGGCCTTGCACCCAAACTTTTATAATTTACCATATCAAATAAAGTTAACCGTCTCAGACATAAATACACTATACATTGTAATGGTCTATAAGAGTTGAACATGGTAATAACCAAGGCTTCAAGAGGTGACCTTAATTTTGACACTATAAATCAAACTGATCAGTTCAATAGTCATGATAATCACAAAATGTTTGAATTGTGAACTTTATGAAAAGGGATAATGTGAAAAAACTAATGAACCGCCAAAACATAGATAAAAGGAATCAACAAGGAAAACTCTCTTTTGAAATCATAAACCTCTAATTAAATAATGGCATATCAACTACTTCCAAACAGTGTTTAAATTCAACTAAACACGACAATCAAATAGACTAATATTATACATCAATGTTTTAAATAATTGCAAGACCACTGACTTACTTATTGTCACATGTAAATATGATAAATACCACTTAAAAATAATATAATTTATGTTTTCAACCTGACTAGACTTAATTTATTACTTAAACCTAAAAATACAATATCAAGAAAAATGAAATTACTGAGTTTTGTATGAGCACACACACGCTTACCCCCCATTCCCCCCCATTAAGGGTTCAACATATACTATTTAATCTCATTTCTCTCTATGCAAAGGGAAAGAGGATGCATGTAGCATGTAGCAGTAGGTTTCTAATTCTCCTAAAACAGCAGAGATTGTATCAATCTCCTAATGAGAAAGTTAACCTTTAAAGCCCTAAGAGTGACAAGCATCTATTTCTCCTTACAATGTCACCCCTGAATCAAACATTAGGATCGCGAGTCAGAATAAAAGAAATGATGACTAATTCAACTGTAGAAGCTCTTGATTGTTGAACAAACTATCCGTGTTAGCACCTTAGGAAATGAGTACAGAACAGTATGGAGAATATGAATACTGGTGTTAACTTGTAAAGGCTTAAGTAAATTTGGTGTTGAGTCAAAATAGAGACCTCTAGTCAAACTAAACCTCTAAACCCTAATACTGACCAGCATCCTCTTTCTCCTTTCAGTAATACTGCTGAATCATTCATTAAGATCATGAGAATAAAAAAACTGATCACAAACCTAAAAAGCTGTGATTGTTTAGCCAATTGTCTTTTTCAGTGGAGAAAAGAGTAGGAAAGACTAAGCAAAATATGAATATTGATGTTAGAGTGTAAAGGATTCAGCTCATATATACACAATCCTATCACCTTTGAGCAAGTTGAGGAGAAATTCCAAAAAGCCTGACATTAATATTTGACTAGAAAAACAATAACAGAACAACAATTTTTCTAAGGTGCACTGTAGTTAAATATGTATATTCTGTCCATCTTCTATGTAAATAATTATATAACAAATTTACAAATCCTTTTTTTTTGTCATTAACTAGAATTAAATAATAGTAATAGTCACTAGTTCTAACCTTAAAAAACTTGTTGCTCTGTTTGTAATGGTTTTATGTTATATAGTGATTATCTTTTGATTTCAATCTTCCACCACATTTTCTGATTCTTTGAAACCTTTTTTGTACCAGGCAAATGTCGGTAATTATCATTAGTGTTGAGTAGCCTCCCAGACTTTGGATCAAGTTTTCACTTAGAGGGAGGCAAGTAAAAAAATTATGATTAACCCTTTAACTCCCATGAGTCACCATGACAGAATTTCTCCTTACAATATCAATACAGTATCAACCAGATAAATGATGAGAATACAGAAAATATCAATTTGGGGATAATTAGTTGATCCAATACTAAATTTTCTAAACTAACATTATAAGAATTGTATGGTTGACAGTAAGGAGAATTACAAATTTGATCAGGGAGTTAAAGGGTTAACAAAGAATAGACTTGGAGGATGTTTAAAAATACATTCCAAAGTAAGATAATGTGGTGTTTAAAACCTGCATTTTAACCTGAACAACCAGGAAGACACTTTGGGCATCAACGAGGAAACTGAGCTCTATTGTATTTTTTTGATAACTGTTCACTCTTGAAACATTGGCTGTTAACACATGAGCATGGTTTTTGATTGAATGAACACTATGTGGTAAATGTAGCAGCAAAACATTCATGAACAAGTAAAACAGACACTATAAATTGAAAAAAAATGCAATTTTACACATCATAGGCTATTGCTAGGCTTGTGGGAGAATTAATCACTCAAATAGAAGTATCATGAATCTACCCAATCATTATTAATAAATTATATAAATACATAAAAAAAACTTACCAACTCTTTTTTTCCTCAATTATGGAGGTTAATAAAGCATATGATTTTATCATTTAAAGTTCAATAACACTTTCAGATCGGTGAATAAGAGGAGCAGTGTCATTCAGTGAATTAATAGACTCTGAAGGGGAGACTGTTCCAATGAATACATTACCATGAATGCCATCCCTTCTTTCTTCTTCTTCTGTTAACATCATAGCCTGGATTTCTTGTGCATTGGTCTGTTCACTGTTGTTGATCATTTGTTCTGTTCTGACATTTGCAGAAGTATTTTCTTGGCTGCTGTTAGATAAAACCTGCTCTGAGGCTTGAATCCTTCTGCTGTTCTGAAATGCACCAGGACTACCTCTTTGTGGAGAAGAATTAGTTAGGTGCGGTTGAATGAAAGACACCCCGTAGCATGCATTTTCATAAGGAGGTGGAGGAGATGATGGTTCATCTGTTAAGGGGGCATCACCAGAAGATGAGAGCCTTGAACGCCGTAGTCTTCTAAGGTTGTGTCTTCTTCTTGGTCGTACAGTGCGCTTCCTTCTCAAACGATCTATCATAAACCCAATGCATACAATGGACAGACAAGAACCAGTAATAGAGAGAATGACAATGACGTAGTTGCGTATATCACTACTTGACTGGCTGGTAGGAGTTGGTGTAGGTTTACAGAATAATTCATCTGATGCATCTGTGCAATCGTTTGTACCATCGCATTTCCACTGGCATTGGATCCTCTGTCCATTATTGCATGTAAACAACAGTTGCTGGTCAAATAAGCTGCATCCTGCAAAGTGGCTATAGGGATCCATACCATAGTAACTGGCTGAAAAACCATCTCCTTCATTTCGGAAACTTGTTTTTAGTTTTACAAACATCTGTCTACCACTTGAGCGCACCATATCAGTAGGTTTATTATTGACAGTACAGAATTTTCCCAAGGAGGGGTCATCAGAACTGGTACCATCAAACAATTCTACAAAATCATCTCCACAGTCTCCAGAAATTGAAAACATCCCAGTGAAAGAATCGACAGCGAAAAAATCAAACCTCAATGACACTATCTTCTCCTCTGAGACTGTTATAAGCCAACTGCAGGTTCTGTCCATTTGCCGCGAACCGGGGTAACCCGGAGAAGTGAATCTTCCGTAATCACCTTGCAAGAGCCCATTGCAATGAGAAACTCGAGTGTACTCAGCCTTAAATCCCCGCGAATTGCTTTCTTTGTATGATTTGAACTCCAGGGACATTTTGTTATCCGTTGAACGAACGGGAGTCTCCTCATTAGGAAGTCGCGTGGTACAGAAGTGCCCTAACTCAGTGGAATTAGTATTAAAACCATCTTTCACTCTAACGTAGTCAACACTGCACGGATACATTCCATCCATTTGAAAGTCCTTAAAACGAAGCTCGATTACATAGTCTGATGGTACTCTTATCTGCCACAAACAATGAATATCTGCTGGAAATTGATCAGGATAACTTGGGCTCTGAAGAAGACCTACAGCATCCGTGAAGAACCCACCACAAGAGGCATAAATTGCACTAAAACCACTTTGATAAGTGAGAGCCGTGCTCTCTGTTGTTCGATTATGCGACTTAAAAACAACTCTTAAGATGTTGCTCTTAGAAGTTATCTGTCTTGGGGGTAAATTCCCCGTACAATATTTGCCTAAAAGACCACCTTGCTCATCGTAAACTTCGACAAAGTCACCTCTCTCGCAGAAGAAGTCCCCTGAAGGCGAGTTCAGGTTGAAATGTTTAAACACAACAACTATAGTTTCAAACAACGGCATTTTAATTTCCCATGTACATTCAATGTCCTCTGGATATGGTTGGGGATAGCTCGGGCTGAGAATTTCCCCTGAAGAGTCAGTCTTGACAAAATTGCAAGTTCCTCTTGAGTTTGAATCTGTAGTTGATGGTTTCGCCGCGACTAACAGCCCACAGAAAACGAAAACGTACCTTAAACAAGCCACACATTTTCTCCATTGCCTTTCTACCATTTCTCTGCTGTAAACAAAGCCGGAAAAAGACCCACTTAGATGTTACGAAGACGCGAAACCGAAACCACAAACGAAAGAAAATCGGTCTTTGAAGAGTTAACTTTCTGCTGTACAAAGGTTGCGCTCAAACAGAAGCTTGATTCTCGTCAGAACGTGATTACTGAACTATACCCCTCCTCGGTGAGGTCAGAATCGTTAATAACTTCCTATAAGCAAACTTAAGTCTCAAGTGAAGCCTCGCGATTTAAGTGCGCGGTAAATGCAGACACCGTCTCACGTAATCACCAGTAATAGCGGAACAAAAACCACGAGCCTTCCAGGTTCACACCTGTTGTTTTTGCTACGTCACTTCCGTTTCGCGTGATTGATCCCATCATTTCGTGCAGGGAGTTTGTTTACTCGTCGCTACGAAAACAAAAAAGCATATTTTGACAGATCAATCGTATTTTTCATATTTTGGACAACATTCCTTTAAAATTTTGATATTAGTGAATTTTTTGAAAGAATTCCATGCAAAATTATCGTATTTCAGACAGTGCTGTCAGAAAAAGAATGTCTTAATGAATTCGAGAGATACTAATTTTTGCGGTACTCAAGTTTTAATTTTGACTGATTTAAAGTGTTAAGACGCGCTCTCACGTAAAAATCATGCGTAATCCCCCCGATGGTTTAAGTTTTTTCCTTAATGCCTTCACAATGATCGTCATAAAAAAATATTTACATTTTGAATGATGAAGTTGGTATTTAGCTGTGGTAAAGTTGATATCCAATATATTTTACCCAATATTATGAAGAGTCCCTCTAACAAGCTAGGCTTTAACATATCTCTTTTCCCGTCAAATTGCTGCAGTATTACTCAGTATTGATGGTTAAACAGCGCCCTCGATCATGACAAGTGCGTAGAAGTACAATGTACAATGTAACACTTTCTGGTAATCGATTTTCAATTTCGAAAACGTGATCGAATGAAAGGACCGGTACTGAAGTGCCTTCCGGTTTGAAAGTAAAATAACTAAGAGTTACAATTTGATATTAAGTCATGGAAAGCACTACAAGTGAAAGAAATAACAGAAAATTATTTGGAATGTTATCAAATAAGGGGTTGCCGCAACAAGATCACCTGCTGGTAACGTGCAGATTTCCGCTGGTCACACATTTGAAGACTATTTGTTTCGTTCCATATTTAGATGTAGAAATTAAATAGTCTTTTTCCTTTTTGGCTAATAATTACTAATGATAGTTCATAAGAGCTTCCGAGTCGTTTTATTCGAGAGACAAGGTCAGAGAGACATTTCGCGTAAGCGTGAGCAAATTGGTCAATTGAAGGACATTCTCTCATAATGAGGTGTTAGGAACGTGGAAGATATCCCTTTGTAGGGGTCATGTACGTGTAAGCCATTGTTCATTCCTGGTAAATAACAGAATTATCCCTGACACTTTTCTTAACCCTGCCAAGATATAAATGGCATGTTTATCATATCTCCAGGCCTGCATATCTCACAACTGAGATATAGACACTCAAGCCAACAAAATACAAGACGAAAACAACTAACGAGACATCGTGTCAAATCAAATAAAAACATAAAAAAGGAGGGCAAAAAGGAAAAAAAAAGTTAGAACATTCTTTCGGTGATATGAAGTTATTTAAAGAATGTAACAGTACACCGTGATTTCAACTTTTCCTGTTCGATAACGAGAAAAGGAAAAAGGAAAAATTTTACAGGAAGGAGAGTAATGTACAGGAATGTTCGTTTTCATGGAAATGACGACGGAACGTGCATCATCGGTATGTTATGAGAGGATTAAAACGCTTTATTTATCCCAGTCCGCGTGATAAGGAATAAGAACGAGATCTTTCTAGGTAAGTGAAGAGGGGATAACAGAGTTCACCGTGGTCATAGGTCATGCATGTGACTGCCGTGGCTTCTTTAATTTTTTTCCACTCACAAATTGAGTTGTTGTCTAGGGTGGTGGAGCAGTTAGGGTCAGAAGGGATTCTTTGACGGAAAATTCCTGGGGATGTGATAGGAGTCGAAAAAGAGCCGAGATCTGTAGTACGTCGATTTTCAATGCCTCGAGTGTATGCTTACAGCTACATTTTTTTCGGCGCTATGGCTAAATACCTAGCAGCCGGGCACGGTCTCAAATAGGCTTATTACACGGCAGTCGGAAATTTTACCAGAATTTCTACCGGATGGTTATTTCAAACTTCTTAAGAATATCAAATGGTCGTTTAGAAATGTTAAGTGATTCCGACAATTATTTCTGCATACTTTTTAGTGGACAAATTCTCCGAGCTGGAGCATACCTTAAATTTTATTTCGCTCGGTTGTCGCTTATACGCCTCTGATCAGACTTCCGGGCATGGTCTTGAATGGACTAAATGCCCGGCAGTTATAAAATTTTTACCAAAGTGCCACTGAAAAGTTCCTGGAAACTTTTAAAGAGTACCAGATTTTGGTATATAAATGTCAAGCGATTCCAAAAATTAATTGGGTTATAAGATGACAATTTTTGTGAGCTTGAGCATACTAAAATATGTATCGCTATATCGCTTGGTTCTCGACCTCAGAAATTGTACACTTCTTATCAGACTGCCAATACGTCACAGCGTTTTTTTTTTTTTTTTTATCTTAACTGAACTTAAACCAGTAGCAAAAGTTAAAGCACCAGCTACGCACACTTGTTATTACGACCTCGCATATCACACGACTAATGATGTATACGAAAAAAATTACGCGCTTCCAATCGGCTGAAAACAGGTGCATTCTCGTGTAACACGAGTGCAATATACAATCTTTCAAAATTTCGTTTGTCCTGACTCTCTGTGAAGTTTTTCATGTACATATTAACCAGTGATAACATGATTTCTCTTGCAATGTGGTGCAATAAGCACTTGTAAATGTTTCGAAGACTACAAACTGCACTTGCCATAAGGACTCGTACAATTTTGTTGTCTTTGAAAAATTTAATCGCGCTTATTGTCACCAAAATGCAATCGAAATCATTTTATTGCCCACAAAAATTCCCCAACCCAACTCGAGATAACACTTCCTTAGCGTCTAATTTTACTCAGGCCTGATCTCAAATCGCTTACGAACTTTGAATTCACGACCTTGAGTAGAGACTGGAAGCGAGTAAACAATGCCCTCCCCATGCCCCGCCCTCAACCTCTGCCTTCCACCGCGTTTGTAACATGTCGGCAGATGTGGATACTCTTTGTGGTGACATTCGACGGCCTCTAGATCCCAATAAATGCAAGAGAGGATGGGAAACTCAGAGGGAATACTGCTACTGGATTCCCAAAGCAGATATAGTCGGCGAAATACCGAAAGATTTGCGAGGAACTCTGTTTCGCAATGGCCCCGGTCTTCGCGAAGTCTATGGCACTCGGTTAAAACATCGTAAGTAAATATCTAACAAAGCTAGATACAGCTCAAAGTTGTTGATACAATTGTGCGTGGAAACTTTTGCATGTTGTAGAGAAGCCAAAAGAATGAAAAAACCCATAACGATGAATTGTTTTCTCGTAAAACTTTGAAAGCTTTGAAAAAGGTCAAAGGGCAAAAAATTGCAATTGCAGTGCACGTTTTAAAGCTTAACGACAGTGAATCGCGTTAATGTTCCGGAAATTTTTTCCGTGAAAGCTGAACGTACTCAGATCGTATTAGAAAAAATAAATAGCGAAACGAATTTAAAATATACCTTAAAGTTAACAAGTTAACATTAAGGCGAAGATGTTTAGTTAAAAGTAACGGTAGATGCCGGAGTCGATTACGGCTGTGTCAAGATGCGTACAAAGCTGAACGTACTCAGATCCTATTAAACAAAACAAACAGCAAAACGAATTTAAAATATACCTTAAAGTTAACAAGAGAACATTAAAGGCGAAGATGTTTAGTTAAAGGTAACGGTAGATGCCAGAGTCGATTACAGCTGTTTCAAGAAATAATCGTAACAGTAAACGGGACAACCCCGAAAGGTATGCTGGTTTTTACGTCACCGGCGATTCCTTGCTTTCAGAGAAATCTGAGAAATTTTTACTTTTAGGATGAGCCATTACAGGTTTGATGAATTAGTTTATTTATTTCACTTACTAAATTCATTGGTTACGGCATACCCAGATTAGCTTTTGAGATTTTTGCCTGCACTTTTGTCCCTTTTTTCAACAATATTTTTCGGGAAAACTACCATTGCCATGTCATTTTGTATATCCAGGCAGGTATTGAAATATGCATGAAAATAATTGCTCCAGTGATTATAGAGGTGCATGTGCTCTGATTGGTTAATGATTGCATCATATCTTGCTAAAAA